GAAAAAGTCTTACCTATAAACTGTAGTCGAGGAATTACTTGATCATGATGTCCTTCATTGGAGTATATGATTAATTATATTCCATTGACCACACCACACATTTGCATCGAAGTGATTAATCTTTCCACGGAGCTGTCGCTGATTATGCTGACTTTAGCAAAAATATACGGCGACCATGAGAAGATGCTTTCTCAGCACCAGGTTTGTAGGATGGCGGGGGATGGGTGGAGGGCACAGAAATGAGGCAGTGTGGCAAGTTCATGGGATGCTGGGTAAATTAATTGCAGGCCTGTGCCTCCAATTAGACCAGACTCTTTTTAATTGGTCCTGAATGAGCTCCAAAGGCCTATGCTGGGAGATATAGCAAGTGGGGGGGAGACTCTTTCTCTCTCTCTCTCTCTCTCTCTCACACACACACACACACACACACACACATTTTATTGTGTGTAGGCACACAATGCATTCACAGCCATCAAGTCCCACCCTTTAGGAATTAACAACAGGAAGCTAATTTGCATGTAAAGCAGGTTTGATAGCCACAGCTGACTGGTCGGAGAGCATTAGTAATGGCCTGAGATAGCACTGGGGTGTTAACCCCCTTGCCAGTGCTGTCGGCACTCTTTCTTCAACAGAGTAATCTCTACTCCTGCTCCTTTCTTTGTCCCCTAACATATGCACTGCATCCATATCTTATCATTCATCTTTTAATTTCCCTTTACCTTAAAGGTGTGTCATATTCCTGTTTACTGTTGCCTCCTTCTTTTCGTCTTTGCTCTTTGATCTGAGAAATGACACAGTCACATAGCTGGAGCAGTGCTAAGCTTCACTAAAGGAGCTGTTACTGTAATTAAAGGGTTACTTCTCTCTCAGAATGGTAGTTTATTTGGTCTCCACTACTGGCATCAGCAGTACCTGTTATTGGACCTTAAATAATGTTCCACTTCTTTTAAATTATATTGTCTTTATGTAAATAGCTTATACATATTGTTTAACAGTATATTTTGTGGAGAAGTAAAGAAGCATACATACTTGGGGAACATCAATATCCATTCTAGTACGTTACTCATCCAAAAATGTTGAGAAAACACAAAAAAGATTTGCACTCAAGGATGCCTGTTATGTTAATGTATCCAGAGGAAGGTATAGCTGCCTTTAAAACGGTCCTATAGAGTCCACGACAACAGGCCTGTAGGTCCTATGTTACATATTTTATTATAACAGAGTTAAATAAGGACTATAGAAGACATTCAAAGGTGTAAATCCTCCCAAATGTAAACTTTCATATTTGCCATTTCTTCTTAGGATCCCGTCTGCGCCAAGAGGACTCCGCACCCCGGATAGTGGAGCACCCGTCTGACCTGATTGTTTCCAAGGGGGAGCCCGCCACTCTCAACTGTAAAGCGGAGGGGCGGCCGACCCCGACAGTGGAGTGGTACAAGGATGGAGAGCGGGTGGAAACGGACAGGGACAATCCCCGTTCTCAGCGCATGCTGCTACCAAGTGGCTCCCTCTTCTTTCTACGCATCGTCCATGGACGACGGAGCAAACCGGACGAAGGTTCCTATGTCTGTGTTGCCCGCAACTACCTGGGAGAGGCAGTGAGCCACAACGCCTCGCTGGAAGTAGCCAGTAAGTGCATCACGTCCTCTTATTTCTTCTTCGGCCTTACCGTGGGTGTGAATGGAAGAGTTTGGGTTTAGATGCAGCTGAATAGCAGGCTCCAGTTTCCTTCAGTGTTTCTGTGCTCAATGTGTTCATTGAGTTGGATAATCTCTTAGGAGATGGGCAGGATGTGTTTGGCCCAGCGGTCTCCGTAGGTCTGCGGAGTCTTGGGGGAGAATTAGCCCGCCTGATCATTCCAGGGTGAGTGCTTCACTAAAGGGCCCATGGTAGGTGGTCAGGAGCTACAATGGGAACAAAGCCCTTTCTGTTTTGGGCCCTGCTTCTGCTTTTTGTCAGAGAGATAGATATGAGGTTTTATAAATCGAAAGGAATGCAATCATTGCATCTGTGTTTTGTCATCTTTTAATGAGCTTTCCCATTAATTTCATTGAAGTATCAGCTATTCCCTTTATTGTCTGCCACACTCATGCAACAACAGGCTAGCTTTGATGTAAAGTGGATTTAAGCATCTCTAGTGTCAACAAGCAGTCTTGGAGACACATTAGCTAGGAGTATATTTGGCAGTCATGCGATGAGGGAAAATAATCTTTCCAAACCATTTATTCTTTCTGTGAGTGGTGACCTGTGTTGACAAATTTGTTCCCATGGTTCTTTAAAGGCTGCTGTCGTTGGTGAGGTCAGCTCTTCATATATATTATCTCTTTGCTCTCTTGACTGGCTGAGATTGAAGGCTGAGGAGGAGAGCTCAGATATCAGCCGCCCCTCAAGCATGCCCAGAGTCTGTCACCAACCCGCTCACTATAATCAGATCAAGATGGGGAAAGAAAGAAGTGTGTGTGTGTGTGTGTGTGTGTGTGTGTGTGTGTGTGTGTGTGTG